GTTTTAACAATACTTGGACAGAGAAAAATCAGGACATTTCGTAAAACCAGAGACAGGAAGGTTTTTTTAACCAGGCCAGCAACTTTCTCAACAAACAGAGGCACATCTTCATGATGCAACTGTAACTTCTGTAAGCTTCTGGGGACCTCTGTCTAACCTCTGGTTCCACATGTAGGAAAGTGAAAGTTGCTACTGTGTCCTAATAAATGGCTAAACAGAGTAAAACATGGTGCCTCTGCCTACTCCAGGAGATGGCACACAGGGTAAACCACTGCCCCAAGCCTGGAGAAAGACAAATACAGGGAGCCCCAACTTCCCTGAAAAGTAGTGTGGGAACTAGTGCTAGGCAGGGACACCTACGCTGCTACACAGATCCCTAGAGGCTGAGCATGGACAAGTCAGATGTCAAAGCCTCTACGGTACCAGCCCCACTGTACTGTGCAGTTTCCTCCAGCTCCACAGTAACCACTGGGGGAACAAATCTCATACTTCAGTCATAGGGAAGAAGGAATTCATTCTTAAACACTGCAGAGCATTTGTCCTCCACAGGGCTGTTCTAAGGGAGCTAGCCAGTCAGAGCCATACCTGCTCAGGTGTATCAGAGCCCAGATGACCAAGGGAAGGAAACAGCAAACAAGCCCCATTAGCCATCATCCCATCGAGGAGTAAAGGACTGAGAAACACATGTGAAGGCTGAGCTAGAGCCTAGGCTTACTACGAGATAAATGCCTGATCTCAGGACTGGAGCGGCTCAGCACATAAGAGACCTTCTACTGTAGTTCCTTCCACGTAAGCATTAGATCCGGATTTTAATAACAACAACAGAAAAACGAGGTGTATTAAAAGCCAAAGACAGTTTCAACAAATTTAGCAAGCATCAGAAGCAGATCAAATATGGCAGAGACATTGGAATTAAAAGAAATAGCATTTAAAACTAAGATGAATATTCTGAGAGCTCCAAAGAGCAAAGCCAGCAGCACGTAGAGCAGATGTGCAGGGAGACAGGAAAGAAAGACCCAGAAGTAAATGCTGGAGATAATGGCACCTTAACAAGGAATGAAAGGTGCCTCTGATGGATCCTTGGTAGACGGGGCACAGCTGAGCTTGACAATGTCAGTAGGTAACTCCCAAATTGACAACTAAGGAGAGCAAATCAGAACAAAAGACCCAAGGGTGTGGGGAGACACAAGCCGTCTAGCTCCAAACATGTCAAGGGAATACCAAGAAAAGAGAAGAGAACAAAAGGTATAATTTGAAGAAAGAGATAGCATTTCCCTAACTAAAGCAATGTTAGGGAGCCCAGAGACCACACACAGGAGGAACGCTAACACAAGCACAGCTAGGAACATCACTTGCAACATGCAGAAAAGTCAGACAGAAAACAATCTTCAAAGAAACAAGGGAAAAATTACCTACAGAGAAGCAACACTGAGAACTACTTCTAATTCTCAGAAACCGTGCAAGCAGGAAGACGGTGGACAGAATATTTGCCATACCGAAAGAGGGAGAAAAAAGAAAAAAACAATTCTATACCGTGCAAATTTCTCAAAAGCTAAGGAAAGATAAAACATTCTCAAACCTTAAAGAAGTTCTTCCCAGAGAAAACAAGGTTTCCAGTTTGGAAACTCAGATCTATGTAAAGAAAGGTATAATTTGAAGAAAGAGATAAAATTTCCCTATCTAAAAACATCAAAAGAACATCAAACAAAAAATAGAGACAAAATAAAGGTTCTAATCATTAACTGATCTAACAAAAAGTTTATTTAACATAATAATAGCAAGCATACATTGATACATGTGTGTACATGCGTCAGTGAGATGACTGACCATAGACGATGGGGAAGGGGTGGACCTTGCAATTATTAGGGACAGTATCCATAAGTTATTATGGATCATTATTACTTGAAATTGGACTTTGCTATAAATGTGCACTGCAAACTTTAGGACAGCCACCAAAAGGGGTGGAGACAAGAAATAAAGTTACTGCTGATACACCAAGAAAGGGCAGAGCAACGCTCAACTAAAATCACAAGCGGCAGAGAGTAAAACACAAAAACCAGGAACAAAGAACAAGATACAACAGGAACCACAAAACACCCAGTGACATGTTATCTACAAGAAATCACTGTTAAACACACATACAGGTAGGTTAAAAGTAACAGACTGTGAAATATATACCAAGCTGGCAATAATCCAAACCAGCAGGAACAGCTATGTGCATTTCAGACACAGCAGACTTCAAACAAATTGTCGGAGCTAAGGAAAAGCACTGCTTGATTTTCTAAAAAGATGTTAACTTTACTGTGTATGTGCCTCACAAAGCCACAAACTATCTGAGACAAAAACAGATGGAGTCACGGGGAAACAGAAAAATCTACTCTTAAGGCTGGAGACGTCAACATCACACTATCAGAAATAGCACATCCAGCAGGAAAGACATCAGTAAGGACTTAGTGGAACTCAATAACACCATTAATTTACTGGATATAATTGACATTTACAGACTGTTTCATGTAACCACCGCATAAAACATATTCTTTTCAAGATTACATGGACACTGACCAAGACAGACAACATTCAAAGCCATAAAACATTCCTTAACAAATTTAAAAAAGTAAAAATTATACAATGCCTACTCTTAGACCATGATGGGATTAAACTAGAAATCAATAACAGAAATATAACCTAGAATATGTTAAACAACACACTTCACAGGAAAAAAAAAAACACATAAGAATTTTTTTTTAAATCTTGAGATAATGAAAATAAAATGCAATTTATTAAAAGTTATAGAATGCCAGGGCTGGAGAGATGGCTCAGCAGTTAAGAACACTGACTGTTCCTGCAGAAGACCTGGTTCGAATCCCAGAACCCACACGGCAGCTAACAACTGTCCGTAACTCCAGTTCCAGGGGATCCAACAGCCTCTTCTGTCCTCTGCGGGCACTGTATGACACAGGTGCACCTACATATATGCAGGCTATATACACATACACATAAAAATAATAAAAAAAATTTTTAAAGTCATAGAATGCCATAAAAGCAATGCTCAGAGGGGAATTTATAGCATTGAATGCAAATACTAGAAAAAAAGGTCAGAGCTGGAGTACTAGATAAGGACTAGACAGACGAGCTCTGAGGTAGCACAGAAGTGAGAACACTGCTCCTGATCTCCCCAGCAGCTAAAGAGATCTGAATGTCACAGAAAGCTCAAGGTCTGGGAACTGGTTCTGCAGCTTCTCTGAGCCTAAAGAGAGACCATGAAGCCACTGAACTGAAAGGAAAAGGAAATGGTAACAAAAAAAAAAAAAAAAAAAAAAAAAAAAACCCCCAAAAGGAGACCATGTGCCCACTGGAACTTAGCAAGCGCATCTGTGGAAACCTGATGGAATCGGCCTCACCCTTCAAACGAGCACAGGTGTCTACTTTTCTCACTTCTGTCTCCACTGATGCCACGCCTCTGGCTAACCTGTGGTGATTCTCAGTTCCAAATTCCAAGCATAATTTTAAAACGTTTGCATTTAGATGAAGAGGGACACAGATGTCTAAAAGCACGACTGTTGGAATGAACATGACCGTAGCAAGTGGGCTTGAAATTCTTATTCCCTTCTGGCCTTTTCTCCTCATTAAGAGTTTCTTTAAAATTTTGTTTTGGTCTTTTTGAGACAGAGTCTCCCTGTAGCCCCAGCTAGCCTGGAACTCACCATGTAGACCAGGCTGGTCTCAATCTCACAGAAATCCACCTGCCTCTGCCGGGACTAAAGGTGTGCACTACCAAGTCTGGCGAGTTTCTTTAAATTTTATAGTCCTCCTTTACATCCAAATTCTTTTCAAACCTGTCTCTGGCTTTTTTCTGAGTCTTGTCTGCAGTGTTTACGTCAGGACTACACAGAACCGTAACTGCCCACAGGTAGTATGAGCTCAGCAGTTAAGAGCACTTGTTGCTCTTGCAGAGGACCCACGTGGCAGCTGACAATTGTATGTGGCTCCAGTTTCAGGGAATCCAATGATCTCCTCTAACTTCCAAGGACACTGCACACATGTGTGCATGTATAGGCAAAACATTTATACACATGACTCTTTAAAAATTAATATTTTTAAATTCTATATTTCTTTTTATCCTCAATAAAGGTTTGTTTCCTAATTTCCTTCCCTAGCCCTCAAAACTAGCATGTAATCTTTTTTTTTCTTTTTGTGTTTTGGGACAGTGTCTCATGGTCCAGGCTGATCATGAACTGGCTGTGTAGGTCAGGATGGTCTTGAACTCTTAATCCTGCTGCCTCAACCTCTGGAGAGCTGGAGTTATAGGCACCACGCTGTAATACCCCAAGCGCCTCCGTTTTATGTAAGTTTAACTGGTCAATCATCTGGTCATAGGACTACCCCCAGAAAGGCGGGTTATGCTAAATAGATGGGCGGAATACCTAGTGGGTTAATGAGACAGCGACTTTTTCCTGCTTGTAATACTACCTATAGGGGCAGAATTTCCTATCTACAGCCATGTAGTCTGTGAGTTGCCTGCTTCCCTGAATTCAGGGAAGTGTAATAATTTCCCTTTTTCTTCTTCATGCCTTTCTTACTGATCATGCTTTCTTTAAGGCTTTGGGCTGCCCCAGCATTTTGTATTTTTTTATTCTCTAAACCTCCTTCTCCCAGCCACATGTCTGACCTCCTCGCAGGCTCTAACCCTGCACGGCCTCATGTCCTTCCTTCTTCCTATCATTCACCTCTTCAAGGCAGCTGCTAAGATGACCAGCTCACCTGCCCTGAGGATTTCTTTTTCTTTAAAATTCTAATAAAACTGTAAAAGCTTAATTCGGCTAACTCAGAACTTTTTGAGTCTGGGTACTCTTTCCCGGTGGTCCCAAACTCCATAACAATGCCAAGCTGCATGTAATCTAAAATACCGTAAAATTTTGTCAAAATAGTCTGACCAGTTTTCTTTTAAATGTGATATAAGACCCTACTGGGGAAGCCCTGCCCAAACCCATTGACTGTACCTTAGGAGTGACAGGTTTGAAGGCCACTCCAGTAACTGTGTCTGTGTGTCCTGCCAGACAGTGCAGAAAGCTGCTTGAGCCCATTTCATACATGTAAGCCTAGGAGACAAGACAAACAGATATTCTGGTCTGACATAGCCAAAGACTAGGTCCAAACCATGCCTCCAAGTATAGTGTGTGGCTGACCCAGGTCACAGTGCCAATCAAGTCACAGAACTGAATCACACAAACATCTAAGTGCATGCATACTTTCTCTTTTCATAAGCCTAGTGATTCCCTCTGAATGGTTTGAAGCACATGTGCATATTGGATGATTTGTCTTCAGGAAGGAGCACAACCAACCTTAAAGTCCAACACTTAAAGGGAAGATGCCACACTGTTCCTGTGAGAACTGGGTACACTCTGCTTTGCTTTCCATTGCTCAGCTTAGAATGTGAGAGATTCATGGTCTCCTGACACTGACTGCAAAGAAAGTCTCTGTACTAGAATTATTACACTTCCCAAATGTATTAGTTACTTTTCTGTTGCTGTGATAAAATACCGTAACCAATAGCAGCTTAACAAAAAAAGAGATTATGTTGGTTTAGGGTTCCACAAGGTTGGGGTCCACAACACAAGGAAGGTAAGGCAACGCTGGCAGGAGTAGGAAGCTGACTGGCGGTATCTGCATCCACACACAGGAAGGAGAGAGAAAAGGAATTAGAGTGAAGCTATTAAACCCTCAGAGGTATAGCTCCTCCAGTAAGGCTGCACCTACTAAATGGTTCATAATCTTCCCAAATAGCACGATCAACTGGGGACCAAGTATTCAAGTACATGACCCTCCAGGGGACATTTTCATTCAAACCAGCAGACCACATGTGTGGTTATCTCTCCAGATTTCCTGTCAAGCACTTCCTTTGGAGAAAAAAATCCAGTATGGGGTTTAGGTCCATCCTAATGGGACGCAGGAAGTATGTCAAAGGTAGTCCCTACAAGTCTGTGCTGACAAAAAAAACCACCATCTCTGGTCAGGGACGACTTAGAGGTGATTCTTGCTCCCATGAACCATCTTAACACCATAGCAGTTCTGTTCAAGACTTTCCTGATGGCTCTGTTGGTAGCTAAACAGTGGTTCTAAAGTAAAGTCTACAGATAGATTTCTGTTATATTTTGAAGTGGCGAAATCAAATGTTTGCTTTCTTGGTTCATGATAGAAACTAGAAATTCCCTGAGACAGATGTCTCACCCCAGCCCCACTGTTAACAGTTAGCCACATCCCTATCTCAGCCCTGATAGAGTGCCACAGCTTCAGAAAAGCCAGACAACCCCCTCCTCCTGCCTGCCAGGGTGTTCCGTGTTATCAGCTAGCCATCCGAGCTGAAACAGCTTTGTTCTGTTCAAGCAAACAGTTCCAGGGAAAGGGCCCAAGGACATCTTAAATGAGACTCTGCAGTTGGGTATGTGCTCTTTACTTCTAGCCCTGTAAAACCCAACCACCCCTCCCACCTTCGTACAGCTTGCCTTTCCCACAGAGAGGCTGTTGCCACCTCGCTGAATAAATGCAGTTTCAGTCTGGTGAAAGGTTTGGCTCTGGTCATGTGTCTAAACTTTATTCTTTCTCTGTCCCTCTGAATCTAACATTTGGGAAGTACAGTTCTACTCATCTCTGTGGGTCTCAGGCAGTTGCTGCTTCTGGTCTGGTACACCCAGCCAGGGACAGTACTGTGAGGGCAGGACCTCCACCTCAAGCCTGTTGGTGGATGATTGGGTTGTTTTTTATCTTCACAAGTGCCACAGCAATGAAATGAGCATGGAAATGCAATTCTCCCTGAGCTGCTGATTTGAATTCCTTTTGCATAAATATCCAGGAGTGAGATTGCCAGATAACACAGTAGCTGTTGAGAGAGGGTTACGCTTTTGTTTGTTTCTGAAGACCTACCACCCTGTACGCCTGCAGCTTTTGCATCCCCAGGAACAGCATGCAGGGTGCCAGCTCTCCACATCCTTACCCACACTTGTTATTCCTTATTTTAATTTTTTTATTTTTAATTATGTGTATGCATGTATCTGTGTGGAGGATGTGCTCATGAGTGCAGGTGCCCAAGGAGGCGAAAGAGGGTGTCAGATCCCTTAGAACTGGAGTTGCGAGCCAACATGGTGCTGAGACCCCCATCCCTTGTCTTTTTGATAACAGCCATTCTGGCAGGTGTAGGGTGGTGGCTCCTAGTAGTTCTAATTGATTTTCCCTGATATTGGCAAAACAGCTGCTCTGCACACACATGGTGGTCATCCATGGGCTTCTTTGGAGAAGTGTCTATTCAAGCCACCTGTGGTCCATTAATATTATCTACTTGCCTAAATCAATAACTTCATTTGACATTGCAAAGGGAAGATTTCTAGTTCTGCCATTCTCTTTCCATCATAAGTAGGATATTTGGCTATCTGGAAATATAGTCCATGGGGAAGACCAAATAAATGTCACTTTCCCCTTAAAAAGGAAGCCTTGGCATGTAGAATCATGCCCTTCTCATCTCCACATGGGACCAACTAGGTTTGACATGTATGTTCTGGCTTTGTTCTTAGCTATGTTTTTCTTGGGCATAAAGATTTTTTTAATTATTTACTTAATAACCATATAATTAGAAGAAATATTTCATTACAACAGCACTGACATATTCAATAACAATTTCCAGAGCTAAGATACATCTCTTTCAAAATTGGCTGTAAATTTTTAGGTTTACAGTTGAATTAATACAGTTATACAATATTGTACTCAGTATAAACCCTATAAGACATAAAATAAAATGAGATTTTAAACTTTAAAAAAGATCTCCATTTCATTATTAAAATACACAGTTCCATACAGAAAAATTCATTTTTAATACAATTGACACTAAGTTGCATATGCATTTCTAATCTCTATATATCTGATTATTATTAGCCACAATTGGTTACCTTCTGAGCTCCTTGGCATCTGAGCATGGATATAAAGTCATCAGGTAGACAGCCTTCCTCTCCCACTAGAGCCTCCATACTCTTCTATCCCTGTCACTGTCCACTGTGTTGTCAGCACCCTCATCCATTCCCCCTGTCTGCCCTTCTGGTAAATCTAGTC